GTTAAAAAATGATTAACCCTACTGCGTTCTTTGTTTTGACGGTACACTTAAGAATTTTGGGTCAAAAAGGACCTAAGACCTTATGTGTAATAATTTTTCCAACACGACGTATGAACCTAGGCAATAAAAGTTTAAAATAATGTTAAAGAACGCAAACTTGATGACAGCAAAAATGACTAAAAATATAAAAAGGCGGTGGGTCAAAAAAGACCCGAAGACCGCTCTAGGGTTAAATTCTTCAGACTTTGAGACATCAAACTACCCCTTCAATTTTACCAATCAAGACACCGTGCAAGTACGTACTCGAACCTGCATAATTCTATTAATTCTTAGTATTTCGCAAAAATTCCTTTCCACCGATAAACAATTCACTAAAAAATGGTTAAATTCTTCAGACGTCGAGATATTAAACTACCCCTTGAATTTTAACAATCAAGACACCGTGCAAATCTCGTTGCAATCGAATCGTTTAAAACGCCCCTCGATTCGAAACGTGCTCTCACCCTCCTCGTATGTATAATACATCCTCTATCTAAATATAAATCAGTCGATGAAACGGTTCGCGATTCTCTCTTTCTCGAGGCCGATCGAAATTAGGATCTCTGCAATCCAGCGAGTTTCCCTTCTAAGGTTAATGTCATAATTGCACGCATGATATATAATCGAATGGCATGCCTTAATTGCCTGCTTTCTAAACCCCAGTGTATATACCGTGGTCGAAATCGAGCGGACGTAACCGCGAGATAAGTCTTTGATAACGCGCTCTCCATTAACCGGTGTCTCGTTAATCAATCGATGATCTTGCGAACGATATCGAAACGAAAGGAAAGAAATTTCCACCTCAACTTCATCAGCGATCTACGTACGCTTCGGTATAATCGAAATTCGTGTGTTTTTATTAGTACTGTAGGATACAGCGAACTACGAAGAGGCGTCTGTGTCAGATTTCTTTCGTTCGTTTAACCCTCATCCGTCCCTCGTGCCAATTTGACACACCTTTCCGGTAAAAAAAAAATTGTATTATTCGGCTATTTGTAGAATTTAACAAAATTCTATATTTCCGTTTAATTGATTTTTTACCATCGTGTCAAATTGACACCGAGGGACCTATTAAGATGCGAAACTAAGGGACGAATGAGGGTTAAATAATTCTCCGGATACCAACATGGTTCTCGTGTCGACTTGTCAGAAACCACGGAGTTCTGGTCCAGAAACTGTGTGTATTTCTGGCGATGATCAAAGAAACGAGGGAGATGGAACGAACGATGGCATACATTTCTCGCCATTGTCGTTACGCTGCGCTGTTTGGCTCGTTTAGACGCCTCGACTTCTCGAGTTCTTTTAGTTATTGGATTGTCCACGCCGAGACTGAGAGTCCGGAGAAAAAGTTGAACGGCTCAATGAATATTATCTTCTTGTATACGTTGCTCTTTTCTCCGGTGAAACTAAGCAGATGCAATCGTACAACTGCAGCGGTTTCTTTTCTTCTCCGTTTTTAAGCGAAACAACAAAGATCGCCGTGGCAAAGAAGAAGGTGGCTTTAATTAAGCCTTTCGAATTTTCTTTCAATCTTCCTTATCTTCGTTCAGGTAAAAGCTGTAGTCTGACCTCGTTCGCGGAAACTTCATGTATATTTATCAATCGATATAAATTTCCTTTACTTCACCTTGCAGCGATACGAGGGAAAGAACACGTAATATCGAATGCGTTTAAGTCAACTCAAAGGAAATTTATATTCTTCGCGTTGTAAGTGTATTCAATCAGTTCGTGATGAAATTAATCGGCTCGTTTAAAACGCCATTTATCACACGACTATTTCACGTTTTTCTTTCATCCAAGTCGACGCGAGCCGAACTCGAAGTAGTTTCTTTCCGAATCGATCGTTTCGAAACTCGTTTCACCATTGGACGAGATTATGCAAGCAAATTAGGTCTCCTCTTTGAACCACTCTGAATTCATTCCTTAATTTACCTCCACTTTAATGTTTGTACATGATGGATCTGTCAATTCGGGTCATTCACTGGCTCGATTAAACGATTGCATAATTTATACGTAATATTCTTCGATCAAACGGTTATTTATTTATAACAGAGATGAAATAAGTGCGCAATTTGGGAACCACTGGCTCGAACGTATTTACAGTTGCCAATCTGCGACCTGTGACAGGCTGGCGTGCCTCGATGTCTCGTGAGGAAACGATTTAGGCGGTCGTAGATTAAATCGTGCAGCCTTGCTGAGTCTGTTTACAAGCCTATCTCGCAAATCGTCTTCGAGGAGTATTCTGCCATTGAAGAATTTCAATTTAATACTTATTTCCTTCGGACCTTTCCCCGATTCAAGCGGCTTACAGGTTAGTTTGTCGATACTTTTTCCATTATTCCTCGGATACTTGTGTTCTCTTGTGTTACCATGATATTAGACTGGAGTGTTGAGATTTTTTCTATCGTACACACATTCGTTATTAAAAATTCTCTCTCTCAACTTTACATATTTGAATTTAATTGAATTCGATTAGAACTTAAAGGGGTATTCGGGTTTAGACGGTTGATTTTTCAGCCGATTTCATGATTTTTTTTTTCTACGCGACAAGAAAAGTTAGAACATTGGTGCTTTACGTGTAACTTTATTCATCTTTCGGCTGCGTAAAATCGACAGTAAAGACGTGGAATGTTTACAACATTCAGAGTTATATGCCATGGCGTGCGAGCATCCTTGCTGGCTTGTCACAAGGCTTGACAAAAATTGAACTAAACGTTGTTTTAATCCGTTAGAGTGTCATCGCTGTAACCACGATCGTAAATTTAAACAAATTTTCTACGATATAGTAATGGATCGAAAATACATTTTCTCTGCGATTTTCGTAAAAGTTTAGGTGCCAGAAAGAGCGAAGTTTTAAAAACATCGATCTGATTGCGGTTAAGACGACAGCGATCGATATTGTCTCGATCAGGATGATAAATTTAAAAAAAAATTTTCTACAAAATGGCAAGGAGTTAAAGTCAGAAACGCGTTTTTTCCTGCGGTTTTCGTAAGTTCCAGGTGTTAAGAAAAGCAAAGTTTTAAAAACATCGACCTGATTGCGGTTAAGACGATAGCGATCGATGTTCCGAGTACGCGGTATAAACAGGAAAGCAATTTGTCGGATAGTTTGCAAGAAAACCTTGGCAGAGTGTTGAAAAACTTGGTTCCGAGGAAACCGTGTTTAAAGATTTTCCAAGATCTGCTTCAGCCATGGTTTCGAGTCATTCAAACCCTCACAGCTCTTACAATTTATCCAATTTCGAAAAATCGTTCGACAGACATATTCTCCAGGCTGCAAGGAGTGCAAAGACACAAAACGGAAAAAGAATAATTCTTTTTTTACCTCGAAAACTAGAATACCCCCTTAACCCCTACATTTTTCTCAACTTGATGTGTCAATTTCATTCTTTCTAATCATTTCCTAGACGTATAGAAATAAATTTCCCATTTATTTACAACGCTGTGACTTGAATTTTCGCAGTGAAATAGAAAGGATAGCGCGATATGAAAAGTGAGAGAAAATAATTAAGCAAAATTGCACTTTTTCGAGGATTACGTTGAGGGTTTAAACACAGCCTATCTCTCGAAAGGTTCCAAGAATCGCACAGTAATTGAACGAAAGCAGAAACTATCAAAATTTGCACGATACGGCAGGTTTCACTCGAAGGAAGACAAATTTCGCAAAGCAGATAATGTTGCACGTCACGATACCCGACCACTATGCGCTCGTATGCTCGCGAGCGACAGTTATGCGTGTGCAACATTCTCGTTACACGAAGCCCGAGCTAACGGCTCGTGGAAGGTTACGATTACCCCTCGGCAATCATTGCTCCGCGTGATAGCTACGTGGAAACGTCGCTCAGACCTGGTGAATTAATCGAGAAAAATTAGCTGGATCCTCTAGCAGGGTGGTCAGGTTCGTGCTTTCCAAGAGAAAGGTGTTAGGCATGGACGTTCACTGGTTAACGATCCTAGGGAAACGCGGTAAAGAGGGTGCCATAAATTTTCGAGACAGTATGGAAAGTGGCTGTACACCTTTCTTTTCTAGATCATTGATACGCGTGACGAATAGACGCAAAATACGACTGATAAGGGGAGCTCGGTAACTTGACAATTTCGAGAAATTTGAAATTTAAATTTGTTTAACCTTGTTGACAGAGTATTAAGAGTGAGAAAGTGAAACATTTCGAGAACCTGAAAATTCCCCAAAAAATTTGAAACTTTGTAGAAATGTAGTTCAATTGATGTTGATAAAAAGAATTGAGAGTCTTCGTATTATCGGATATCTTTATGAAAACGTGCAATTTTGGAATTTTCGGGTTATCAAATTATTTATGCATTAATTTTCTCATTCTTAATATCTGTGAAACGGACTATCTGATCTAATCACATTGCACGAAGATTTCGCTGAATCTTCGCATGAAGTGCTTGTGTCTTCAGTCTCTCTATTGATATTTTTCCAACGCCAGAGACCAGTTGACACAACACAGATAACAGGCATTCGTCAGATAATAGCGTGCTCAGCATCTGTCGTAAAACGGCCAATCGCTACAGACACATTGATAACCGGTCGATTACCGATCCTTATCTCGTACCGTGTTAAAAATCGAAATTTCACAAACCAGCCGTCACAGACGGCCTGTAACTAACTAATTTCTAAACACTATTTAGATTCGTTTCCACGTACGATACCCGTTTATCATTTTCTATTGTCGAAGGAGGCCACGAAGATATGCATACCTGCTACGATAATCCGCTTGGCAGAAATTACCACTGTTCATTTATTTTTGTTTCGTGGTGAGCGATAAGAAATTCGACGGCACGATAAGAGGGACCTCGTTGTCGGCTCGAGCTTCTTCGCCTCGTCGACCAAGAGGTAGTCTCGCCGGCGCGCGCTCGGGACGTGCAAAAGTGAAATTCGCGGGTAATTGCGCGCTCGATTACGATCGTGATCGTGGCAATCGTCGAATTGGTCGGCGATGACTTCTACCGGGCCAAACGAGGACATCGAGTCCTGTCCGGACACTGGACCGCGGAATTTCGCGTCCAGGTTCTTCGCTGTAGGTGGTTATATCTAGTGGTGTAGTGAGAAAAAAATTTATTCAATATTCCTAAACGGGGTATGTTCGATTAGAAATTTTGAAAAATTCAATTTTTCGGTTCTGACATTTTCCATATTCACATTCCCTGAAAGTTTCAAGTTGATTCGATCTACGGAGCTATGCGAGTTCGAAAATTAACATTTCGTTCGCGTGTATACGTACTTAATATGAAACTTTAAACGCGTTTTTTTGTCAAAACCAGTCAAGACCGAAATATTTCAAAAATCAGTGTATCGGTTTACTTCAAATTTCGCAGGCTTGTAATATTTCTTAATGAAGGAATTATGATAGTTTCTTGAAAATATGGTAAGTTATATAGTAAAAAGTTTACAAGTTTCTTCAAAACAAATTCGCAAATATCACGTTCTTTTCCACTTCCTGACTGAGCATACCCCTTAGTGAATCCTAGAGAAACGTTATATATTGGATTACAAAAATATGGTAGAGCTCTATGTAAAACACGGTTTCGTGTAACATGACGCAAAAATTGTGACAGTGTGCGTATGACACGGTACACGAATTGACATTTTCACATATGGTATTAGGTTGGTGCGTAAGAAACTTTCGATACATTGTGTTTTTTACACATTTCCCAACGATTAACTGGTTTCGTTATTCCGAATTTACAAGAATCATCAGATGACGAACCGCTTGCTTGCGGTGGATGGCAAGTGATTTATAACCGTACCGCACTAATTTGGGCTGACTGGCAACATGTGATATAACAGTGGTTTATAACTTTCTTTGTTCTTTACCGACATTTGACGAATAACATATAACTTGCTATATTACACGAAAAATCTTATTTAACATTTTCCTTTCTCTTTCTTTTCTTCAATAAGTTTTATAACTTTGCTGTATAATTTATTATGTTACATAGTTTAGACGAAACTTAACATGGATTCGTGTAACACGAAACGTATCCCCGGTGTTATACGAGTGCCTACTGTATTCTTTTCATATCAACCCTTATGTCAACAACCACAATTGTCGTTTACTTTATCGTCCAATTTTAGTAGTTTTCTAATAACAAAATTCTAAACTTGAAGCAAACAGGGATAGGAAATGTGGCAAATAACAACGATCTGGCCGGATATTTCAATCTTTTATCGTGAAGACAAAATATTTTGAGTGAAAATGTGCAAGAGTACCTGGTTAATCCCTTGTCTTATAACAACGAGGCAGACTCGTAGCGCAGATTCTGGTCGAGATGCGACAAAAGTGGTTGTATTAGTAACAGAATTTAATTTTAATCTCAACTTTCATTTTAATTTACGAGACTAAAGATTACCAAATTTAATTAATCTATAATACATTAGCTTTTCTTATCTGATACAGCACTAAAACAGTAAATAACTGACGCCTAGATGCATAGTCAAAGGGTTAAGAAGGTTTTTTAAAATATACTTCTATTTATTTGGTTAGTATTTTTTTAAATGAATATTTTGGTCAGTATAAATAATCAGTTGTCAGTATTAAATCTTATTTGGTCGGTATTAATTTGTTTTTTGGTCAATAGAATTTTAATTTTTGGCTAGTTATTGATTAGGTTACGATATTTCATTATACACACTGACCATCTATTTAACACGTTGACTGCCAACCACGAGATAACTCGTGGTTGGCAGTTTGCTGGTAGAAGTTACATCCTATTCGGAGACGCCCGACCACGAGATAATTCGAAAGCGTTTCTTTGCAAAAATGCAATTAAAATTAAAGTCATAATATAAAAATTAATATGTGTTTGTTTAATTCTATACAATAAATTGAAAAAAAAGTATTGGCGTCTAGAACAGATTTCTTCAAAATAGGCTTGACAGTCAACGTGTTAAAATACTGACAAATTATTACGTTTACTAATATTTTCATGAAAATACTGACAGATTTTGTATCAATCCATGTAATAGGATTGACCTACTGACCATTTACAGCACGTACCGAAGTTTCATTTTAAATACCGACCATTTATTTAAACTACCGATTAAACATTTTTTCAAATACCGCCCCAATAAATAGCATACTTACATAAATTCAACCGGATAAATTGAATTGTAATCACGTGCACCGGCTGGAGTAAATTTACGGTTGCGACAATGTATAATTTTTGGAAAGAATTAGTTCTAATGGACAGTACAACGAACTCGTCGGTGACACGGATGACAAACCAGTCACATCGTTACGCCACACTCGCGTTACGTTCTTGGCTTCGTAACAAGTTACCTTACCTGTTTCCTTTTAATAACGTTCCACTGTAAAGAATTTCATATTGGACAAAAGGCCTAGTGAAAGTCGTCGACGGCTTTTTCCTCCAGGAAACTCTCGTTTCCGCGGCGAGAACCTTCCGGATTCGAACGTCCACGGAATCACACGCTTATCACGAATGTCAATTGCTCGATTTTGAATTGCAGAGAGCCCGGGGTTGCCGTGACTGAAATAACTCGACGGAATGTTTTCTGATTCGCAGAGGATTCCGAGCTGTCCAGTGAAGAGTCCACAGCCCCTGAAGGAATTCGTGGGTCGCTGCCAGACGATGCCATCACGGGTGAAGAAGTCCTTCTGCGGTTGCCTCCAGGTAAGAGGAACAAAAATTACCTCAATTAACAACCCTTTGAATGTCATCGAACACAGCGACATACTTATCTTATCTTTCACCTCGCGTTTCTTCCTTTCTTGCAAATGTAATTACTAGTTGCTCTATAATTTGTCTCACATGCTAGTACTTTGCTTATCAATCTCTCTCAGAGAAATTACACGCGCTCTGTTTGCTCTTTTCGCCGCGGAACGATCGATAAGGTGTTCGGTTCGAGTCACCTGCGCAACAAATCCCTCGTTAATCACACTTAATGGCTCCACAAACAGTACCATCATCCAGACTCTAATATACTCGAACAAAAACCACTAGAAAATAACGGCGTAGCGGAACGCTCGAACGGGAAGAATTAACAAATCCCACCTAAGAAAACTCGATTTTTACCGCAAACCCGGTGGTTTTAGTAGTTCCGCATTCCTTTTGTTTTCGTCGATCCATTATCTACATTTCCACGAAGTCAATTGTCATTAGGAAGTAGTTACGCAAGTGAAGGTGGAACGAGAGAGAAACGGTAGGCGAAGAGATTTCACGTTGAAGAAACGAATAGGGAACATCGTCGACTTACACGTCGTGTCGAAGATAGTCGGTGATCCATCGGTCGTGAGATGACGCCGCATGAAATTATCGTGGTTCAGGCACACACCCATAAATGCAAAGCATTTTCACGTTCGTTATGCCGGCTCGGATGACATCTGCAATGCAAAGAGGCGCGTGTGCACTCCCAGCGCGTGCTCCACCCGAGATTCCCCGACTTTTTGATCCTGAAAGGGAATGTTCTCGACCGTGTCCGTATAATTGAGCCGAGATTTCTACTCGTTGGAGGAAAGATCGGCCACTTTCTTCGTTCCATAAAGGATCTGCTATCGTAATATCATACCACGGGATGGAATTTCTGATCATTGGTGGAGTCCGTCGTTAAGTCATTTATCTGGAAAATCTGTTATTCGACGAAATCAGCGGTTTCTCGTTACTTCGGCATGCGAAATTAACCCTTTCACTACGAAACGCGTATATGTACGCTCTGCAACAATGGTCGCTTATTTACGAGGAGCGTATACAGGGTGTTCAGTGTGTAACTGTCGCCATGATTTTTTTTCAGGCACTTCCGGTAGTGCGAGGAGAAAATGCTTGAGATAGAAAATCGTCGGTACTTGATTGTCAATAAATTGCAAAAATAAAAATTGCGAAAATATTACTTTTTCACAAATAATCGGGGTCACCTTAACCCTCTATGGGCCCGTGTAACTTTCAAGTCACATACTAATATATCGATATTTTATTAAATAATTGAACTTTCTTCCACAAAATGGCATAAACGTCTTGTTGTACAATGTCTCCTTATTAACCAGTAACTTTCTTGATAACCGTTGTTACTTCAAAGTTACAATATGTATTCGTTATGATAAAATTGTCGAAACTGCTGAATTCACTGTTATTCTGTATTTATAGGTCGATATTTGCTAATTTTACGTTACATAAATTCTTTTACAGTCAAGAAAAATATTCGGCCCATAGAGGGTTAATTTCTATAACTTCTTCTACACAGTATTGTGGGCGATATTGAGACGAATGCAACGATGTACAACTTGTGGAGAAAACATTTTTAATGCAATAGGAGTGCTTCTGAACGCGTAATTGACGTTCTGACGAATGAAACACCTGAAGACTGCAATGCATACACTCAGAAGAATTTGAATACATATTTGATTGCTTTGAGGTATTGAGTTCGTAAAAGAATGAAGGCGACCCCGATTATTCGTGGAAAAAGTAATACTTTTGCAATTTTTATTCTTGTAATTTGTTGACGTTAAAGTACTGATGATTTTTCATTTCAAGTATTTTTCTCTCACACTACCAGAAGTGCCTGAAAAATCGTGACGACCGTTACGCTGAACACCCTGTATACGCGGTGTACCAGGTTTTGCCGATCAAACTTTGTCGCTATTTATTTTTGCACTTACTACGTAATTTAAAAGGTTTCATAGGGTGAGTAAGATGGAAGAAATGGCAAAAAATGAAGGGAAGTTTCACATTTGATTTCCACGATCATTTCACGCTCATCTCATGTAAAAGAACATAGACGACTTCGAAGAAAGCAGGAAAAAATGTCTACTGTAAAAAATTTTTTCTTCCACCTTATTCACCCTTTGAAAGCATTTAAAGTGAAGTCAATTGGGTAGCCTGTTTTACTTGAAACTAATAAAATAAGAGTTTTACTAGTTTATTTTCGCACTTCACAAATAAAGTATCGCTGTGGAATGCACCAGACATTTTAACCACTATGAAAGTTGATTTTCAACAAAATATGTATTTTTACTTTCATAAAGCCTAACCCTAGTGTGTTTTCCTGTTCGACTATACGCTTAAGGTCTTTGGGTCTTTTTTGACCCGTCTTGTGTAACAATTTTTGCTACCAGCACGCTATATGAACCTAGACAATAAACTTTGAGTGTAATATTAAGGAAACACGAACTTGATAACAGTAAAAGTTATTAAAAAAAAAAGAATTAGAAGTTGGTGGGTCAAAAAAGACCCGAGGATCGTACTAGGGTTGAGCAACCGAACGTTCGGTGCACCAACGTCGAATAACTGTTTCGTCCAATACACAGCGATCTCTTTTTATCTTAAGCGCGCCGTAGAGAAAGGGTGAAAGAACCGCTGAGAGAAATAGACGTGAATTCGCGTCGAAGATGTGAGTCATTAGAGGAGAAGCTTCAAACTTCCTGGCTGCGTGATGAACGCGCGTGCATACAATTATAGCATACGAGTGGATTGTAAATCAGTCAGTATCTCTTCTGAACTCGCGAACCGCCGGAAGTGAGTGGCGCTAGGAACTAGACGCTGGAACGATTCCTCACGTTACCCGGCTCATTCTATGCTTCAGATGACCCATTATATTCAGATCGAGGAATTATCGTGCAGTGAGACTAGGCCTGTTGTATACTGCGAACTCTGATGTAACGTGAAATCGCATAATACCGTAATGGAGGATCATGAATGAAAGATCAGAAATAGATCGCGGATTTTCTCTTTCCTTTTCATATTACGCGTATAAATTTTCATCGATTCCGGATAAGCTGTAAACCTGACAAGAGTGCGTCCCGATAAATCCTCGGTGTCGAGGTGTCGAACCAAAATCAAAGCCATAGATTTTCCACTATCCGTTAAGCGATAAATAATTCAGCGGCTATTGCGAACGATCGAAGGTAAAAAGATGCGCTACTCGAAATACTTCGAACGAGAGGTCGCATTGTCACGGACTGGTGCATCTTCTTCATACAAATTGCCTGACCATCCGGGGTCTTTGACTGCGTGACCCGTGACAATGATCACGTCCACCTTGATAGGGTTGAGAAAGTTCGATTTCCTTTTAACGATCGATGGACCCTGAAGGTGGCTATCCTCAGAGTGCATCGTAGCTGGCGAAAAGAATACACCTTGATTGCGTTTGATTAAAACTCACGGATCTCTATTTGGCGGACACCCTTTAATTTGCTCGTACAAATAAGGTTACGGAATTCGAGGAGTGAATTGTCAGTTAAAATCCCTCGAGAGGTTATTCCCTTTTGGAGGCGTGAATACTATGGGTAGATTTTACGATGTTTTCTTTCAGTAGAAGAAAGTAAGATATAAGCTTATTGTTTTTAGAATACCTTCAAGGTTCCTTCTGTAGGGGATTTATGTGAGGAGGGATAGTAAACTCGAACGGACTTTTGACTATGCTATATTTATTAATACTTTATACTGCTAGGTGCTACGCTAAGGATGTCGCTCAATCAATCGCTGGATTCATACTGCCTTTCGCTCCCTCGCATTCACCCTAATGTCATCTTGCATACATGCACACTTTTCGTTAGAAGAAAACACACACGCACTCACGCACTCCTCGCCTGATTACTAAAACTAAACATTCGTTCAATATCTTTCGCGCTATCCCAAACACTCGACCTGGCACGCCGGTCCTTACCGCTCCGGCCATAGACCCTCACGCATTCACACAGACAACGCATTCATACAAACAACGCACTCACGCTCGGTCATCCCTACACTTCTGTTGTATTGGGCGAGTTAAAATTTTTAGTGCTTGGTGATTACCACAATTACGTCCTTTGTGGTTCATCCGATATGAAAATTCCGGGTATTTTTATAATTAGGATGAATTTGAAAAATGGCGCAAAGAAGAAATTTCGATTTTTGACTAATTTTCGTTGCTTTAAGTGACGAAGAACAATAGAAATTTTTTATGGATCTTTCTAGTTCTACTTAGAGCTGTAGATAATTTTATTACGAAACGACTACGCGGTATGAAAAGGAAGGAAAACGGAGAAACGATCTCGCCTATAACGATATCCAAGATGGCGGCGGCGCACGCCCCAGGGGTACCAACCTGGTTACTTTACCCTAGTTTTATTTCAACATCCAACACATTTGATCGACGAAAGGATTATTCTCGAAGTGATCGAACGTGAGTGGAATATTTTCTCTTTTCATAACTTATCTACTCGGAAAATCAGGGTAAAATGTGCTTTCGATCGATGAAAGGAAGTTACACGATCGAGTGTCTGTTTAAAAAAATAATGAATTTTTCACGCGAACCTCTGACACGCTACGGCGCCTCGCGTAATTAACTCTAAACGCAACAGTGGCGTCGATGATAGGCCAGCTAATTAAACGCGAAATCTCCGATTCATCGTAACAGAGAGAAACGCTCAGGCTCCCGTCTCGTGGAACAATGTACGTTTGTTTTCATTTTTATCGACGTGGATCGGTTAATTTTCATACGGCCGCGTTAAACGAGGCCATCGAAGGATACCTCGAACGTCGGAACCGTAGATCAGTACGGCCGATAACTCGATCGCGGATGCAGGTGACGGGTGATAAATCCATCGGTAATTCACCGGATGATTTCCGAATGGACATCTGAACAGAAACGACGTCTGTTCCACAGCTGAGCGCCCAGGAACCACGTGACACGTGTCCTT